CTTCCTTCCGCGGGGTGCGCGGGGCCGCGCTCGACGCTGGGCTCGGTCCAGCGGAGAAGAGCGCTGGTTTACAGCTGGGTTACAGCAGTGGGCTTCGGCCCGCTCCCTCCTTAACGGAGAGCTGGGGCAGCCCGTGGGGCGGGTCAGCGGAGGCGCTTCTGCCCCAGAGCTGTCCCTAAGGCTGTTTAACGCCATTCCCCTCATAGTCGCCCCATGATGGATGCATACAGGCCAGGCTGGACGAGGCTTGGGGCAACCTGGTCTACTGGAAGGGGTCCTTGCCGGTTGGGACTGGATGAGCTTTAAGGTCCCTTCCAACCCAAACCATTCTGTGATACTGTAATAAAAATGGCCAGGGAACTGTTTTGAACTGATTGTGGATGCTGAGTACAAAACGCAGTTCTCAGCTATGAACCGAACAGTGTCCAGCTTCCAGGGTTGTACCGCAAGCAACCTGATGCTGGAAGGACTCCAGGACAGTTTTCAAGAGGAACTTACTGTTTCTCCAAAGTACTGTAGGAGACACAGTAGGAGAACATCCTCTGAAGTCTCACCCTGTCTGTGGATTTCTGTGGAAATGAGGAAAACAAAATATTCCAGTAGCAAAACTTTTAATTGCATGATTGGTAGTTGTAAAGCTTTAAACCATGAAAATCAGAGAGAGTTCTGCCTGAACACTTGCCACATCATCTGCTCCAGTTTGTAAAGGGAGATAGAAATCTAGCTGCAACAGCCGTAAGCACCAGTGGCAAGAGGCTCTGGAAAAGCAGCCACACTTACTCCAAACAGAAAGGCCACACCATTTTGGTTCATGAATATCAGTTAGACAGCCCCTTTCAACCAATGGACTTTACAAAGGTGAGAGCAGTACACTGCCTGTGGCAGTCAGAGGCTCAGCACTGAAGGGCAGCCGCTCCTGGGGAGCAGCAGGTGAACTGGCCAGGAGCTCACAGCCTCAGCACCAAAGGGAAAACACAAGATCCGATCACAACTGGTGCTAATACCCAACCTCCACACACCCGCATCCAGCTTGTGTCCCTGGGAACACCGAACAGGCAGATCCCCGGTCACTCTGCTGCTGCCAGACTTGTATCATTGGCTTGGATCAAGATTAACCGCTCCCCTGGCATCTTCAGCAGTGAAACCTCCCCCTGAGCACTTCCCCCGCAGGCTCACGGGTGGACAGGTTTCATCGTGCATCTTTCCTGCGAGAAAAGTAAAAATCTATCCCTCTGTCCTTGTGCTGCACTGGCGGGCGTGCAGGTCCTCTCCTGCCCCTGGCATGGGGACTTCTTCCCTGCGGCAGATGAAAGATGAACTGTGAGATATTCACCCATACTGCAGAGCGAGTCTGATCACAAAGCACCCCTGACGTGCAGAAAAATGTGGAAGTAGCATTTCTACTCCCAAGTTCACTAAGAAGGCGGGGAGGCCTGGCAGCTCTAGGCTTGGACTGAGAAAACTAGGGCTTCTGGTAAGGTGTGAGCTTGTATTTGCAAAGGTATTTTGATACTCTGCTTGGAGGTACGGGTAGGAGGATGCTTCTCCAGGCCTCAGTGACACTGGGCCTACAGTTCCTCCCAGCAGTATGTCAGTTCCACAAGCACAGTGTGGCAGCGCAGGCCCACAGAGCCCAGGGTGAGCTGGAACATTGATCAGAACAGAACTCCTGCCTGACAGAGGAGCTTTTTGGGTTCGGGTTTTATCACTGCCTCAAAGCAGTGTCTCATCAAGGGGCTCCTTCACAAAATCCCTTCTCTGATCTCAGATGACTCTTAAACAGAAGGGTGATAATGCAGGCCCTTCAACAGCATGGCTGGAAGCGGAAGGCTTTGCTTCCGCAAAACATTCCACTCATGGTAAAGAAATCTGGCATGAGAACTTGGTACTGCACCTTGGGATTGAAACCTGAAAGAAAGACATGCTTCATTCTTCACTGAATATAGTATGATGACTAAATCTGAGCCTTCCCGAAGTATCCTTACTGGGGAGGAGGCAGGGAGGATTCATGGGGGAAGACAATATAATGAAAACCCCATGACATACACAACCATTGGTTACATCTATTTCTTCTTCCCTTCCAGCTCCACCACCACTGACTCCACCCAGACTGGCAGAGCGCTTTCCTTCCATACTCATCTCCTCCAAGAACAGCAGCCCAGGCAGCAGGTACGAATCCTGACATACTGCGGGATACACATCTTAATCTGTCGCCGTTCTAAAGGGGAGGTAGACCCAAAAAGCAAAGTGCAAGAGCCAGTCCCCATGTTTACTGGTGTTGCTGGCTCCAGTTGGGATGCCCTCAAGCATGGTAGGAGGTTGGTTGGTTTTACTTTGACCTCATGAAGAGAGTAGAAGCTGAGCAGCAACTTTGACTCTTCTGTCTGTCTGCGTTGGGGGTGATTAGGCCAGTGGAGGCATCCAGAGATGCTCCATTCCTCCCTGCTTGCCATTGGAAAGGTCTGGAGGGCAGGGAAGGATGCTGTGAGGGGCACACTCTCTGTCTGAGCCCTGCTGTCTATACAAAGCTGATGGGATAAAGAAAGCACCTAAAATTTACATCTTTCGCCAGTGGGTATATCTGGCTCTATGTATGTCCAGGAAGAAAAACCTGACTAAGAAAAGCTACCTAGAAAATAGTAAACCAAACATGCATGGTTCATGCTTCAGCCCCAAAACAAACCGGCCTGGCACACTATATGTCCATATGATATAGCGTGGACTGGATTTTGTGACAGTCCTAAGCGTTTGATATGCTCAAATTATGCTTGGATAAGGTTCTGGAAGGTGCTTGTTGGCCCTGGCAAAAATAGTGCTGGGGAGTTACATTAACTGTCACTGTCTGGAGGACAGGGGGTCAGTACTTGGGCTTGTGCCTCAGCCATGTTTAGTTTGGTAGGACAGACATTGCTAAATAGCCCTGGCTGGACTAAATAGACCCTGTGCAGAGCTGGACCTTCCTCTGCTATGAGGTAACATTACTTTGCATTAAAGTCATTTTTTCCCATCATACCTGAGAAAGAAAACCAGAATCCAGACACTCCTACAGGTGCAGAGCAGGCGCCTGGAGCCCTCCCACCCCATCCCAACCTTCCCAGTACTCACAGGCCTCTGGTTGATGTATCGGCTCCACTCCGGGGCTGTCACAACTGGCTGTGGGTATGTCTCACCTAGAGCTACTCCTGCCTGCGAGAGAGCAGCACTGCTCAGTGCCCAAGGGGTGTGGATATCTGCTCCCTTTATGCCCTGTAGTTCTGGGACCCACAGCCGCACATAATCCCCCTGAAAACACAACCAAAGGGACAGTATCCGTTCAGTTACAATCTATAAGTGCTTCCTGGCAAGGGTCTTTCTTAACATGAAAGGAAGAAGTCCGATTTCCAGGTGAAGCAGCTGGTGTAATACAGCATCAGCTACCTCTGTCAAGCCTTAGCCCCTCCTGCTAAACCCTCTACCCAAAATTAGTGCCTCAACACAGAGACCTGGATGCTGGAGCTCCTCTCCCAGGTTTACTCTGCAGGCAGAGGAGGGAGACAGGTGCTTTTTGGGTACAGTTCCCCTGCCCTATTTAGGACATAGTGATATAAAGTCACTTCCAAAAAGTCTTTTTTTCTTTCCAGTGACTGAAGGAAAGAAACTCGGTTGCACACTTTTGTGCTTGGCAAGTTGAACCCCTCTTTGCCCCTGAATCTCGCCCATTAACTCTACTGCTGTGTCTCCTCCTAGGAGTAATTTCTGATTCCTTGCTAAGTCCTGCATGCTACAGTGCCAAAAGGCAAGAGTGCAGCTTACCTGAAACTGAAGAACAGGGAGGAAACAGGCAACTCAGTATGTAAACTCTGGCTAAGCACGTGGAAAGGGTGATTTACCTGCTCCCACCACTTACAGAGGAGAGCCAGAGGAGTCACAGGTTTAATCTACTCTCCAGAAGCTCCCAAGGAGCAGCTCCATCTCTCTTGTCACTTGTGAGTTCTCTGAGAAGCTGCTCTGTGCTCGAGGAACTGGCTGTGTGAGATACTGTTGGGATGTGGCTGTTACCCAGAAGAAGTGGTGATGAAACACTAAGCACAGACCAGCAGCAGGGCAGGGAGGGTGTACAGAGCACCAGCTTCTTTGGTTTCAGCAGCAGGCTCTAAACACAAGATCTTCCTGTACAACAAGGAACCTGCCTGACTGTTAGCAAGGAGGAGATCACAGAATGGCTTTTGCAACAGTATCTGCACAGCAGATTGACCCCCTCTGTTCCCTGAAACTATCACAGATGCTTTGCTGCACTATTTGTTGTAAGGCAGCCGAACAAGACTTACATTGCTATCGTAATCCAGGCCTTGCTTAACCATGTTAAACTTCCTGTTGTCCCGTGGGTCGTTGCCAACACCAGCGCTGTATAACCAGTTGCCGTAATTGCTACAAACATCATAATCCACCTTGAGAACAGAGGAAGAAAACAGTAAGATGAGGTGGTGGCCCTTGGTGAATCTTCTCTCTTCATCCACCTTTTATCTCAAAGGAAAAACTCCTTTCATGAGAATCAGCCTGGTTACACGGGGGTAGTCAGAGCTCTCCCCTATACGTATGGCCGCCTGGCTCAGAAGAGCACTGTGCTGCATGGCTGCTGGACAGGGCTTGGAGCAAGCTGCTCTAGTGGAATGTGTCCCTGCCTGTGGCAGGGGGCTGGAACTGGATGGGCTTTAAGGTCCCTTCCAACACAACCGATTCCATGATTCTGTTTTCTACAGCTGAGATCAGCTTCCCAGGCTACTTCACTTCATGGTCCTTAGGTCAATGAGACAGGTAAAAGTCCAACCAAAGTCTTTTTCTCAGTTTCCTTTCTAAACAGAAAATAAATCCTTCTCTTTCTGCCATCATGTGGTAGACTTCATGACAACTAGCCCTAGCTTTTGAGTGCTCATATGCCAAGAAACAGTAGCCCACTACATTCCAAATACAAGACAAAATTCTTTCTGACCAGTTACCCAGAGAACAACAGGTGAACAAAACCACATCTGCAGATCCTACTAGGCAGGTTGGAGACAAGTCTAATGTGGACTGTATGGAGTGACCACACAGAGTGTATGAAGATGCAATCAATACAAACACTAAAGTTTTTTCCCTGCTATACTCAACCTTCATCAGGTAATGGGTTTAAATTTAAACAGGAAAAGTTCAGGTTAGGTATAAGGAAGAAGTTCTTTACAGTGAGGGTGGTGAGGCACTGGAATGGGTTGACCAAAGAAGAGGAAAATGCTCCACCCCTGGCAGTGTTCAAGGCCAGGTTGGACAGAGCCTTGGGTGACATGGTTTAGTGCGAGGTGTCCTTGCCCGCGGCAGGGGGATTGGAACTGGATGATCTTAAGGTCCTTTCCAACTCAAACCATTCTATGGTTCTACGATAAGCCTCAACTCTTGGCAGAGAGATGTGCTTTGCTATGGGAATCACTTGAGCTCTCTTGACGTGCTCAGTAGGTTGCACGTGCTCTCAAGGATGCTTATGGAAACTGGAGCAAGACTCCTGAAACAGGCGCAAATGAGAGGAGAACAAGGCCCAGTCTGAGAGCTCCTCGGCTGTACAGGGTGGCTCAAATCCAGCATCAGAAGCTTTCCAGCTGTAGGACAATTCAAACCTAGCTCGGGAGGGGAGTGGCAGTGATAGCAAATAGGTGTGGGACCTTTGGGCCTTCCCAAGAGGGCTGTCGGCATTGCAAAAGCTGGCAGGCACAGCAGGAAGAGTGTGCAAAGACATGTCACTCGGCAGGTTCAGTGCTGTGCCTTCCCTGCAGCAATAGACACGCCACACGGTGATGCTTCCAAAATCTCAGCCACTCCTCAAAGCCAGCAGCTAAACGCACCCAGATGGCAGAAGGCACAGGGGAATGGGGTCTGACAAGGTCCCTTCCCCTTTCCCTGCAAAGCCAGTGAGAGCTGGGGTCAGGGTGATCCACATCCAGCTACGCTCACTGTGCTTTCCCTTCCCACAGCACTTCTTCTGGCTGGGCAGATAAGGAGGGGAAGAAAGATGCCATCGGAGGCCTGATTGTGCAATTAGCATGCAGGAAAGCATCTGTGGGAGGTGAGGGCAAATCTAAGGGGACTGGAGAAAGCAGGCTCATTTCCCCCTCAGCCTTGCCCCTTCCTGGCATTCTCTTCTGTTTGTTTCTCTCCCTTTCCTTCGGGCCTGACCCTGTGCATGAAATCATAGCTGAGATTTATTCTACTCAGGACACCAGAGGTCTCTGGCCTTTCTCCTGGCTTCAGAGAGCCTTAGTCTCCCTGCCCATCTGGTGTGGATGACAAACACCTTTTTCTTCACAGGTAGGCACAAACAGTCAGTGGGCCTTTGCTGGAAGTATCAAAGATTAAATATGCATTGCTTTCCCTCTTTAGAGGCAAGCAAGACCAGTTTCAGTTCTGTACTTGCCTCTGCCATTCTATAGCCATATCTCCCCCATCAGATTGATGTCTCCTCTATGCCACTCTGGAGGTACCACCAGCTTAAAGTAACAGTAACGTAAATTGTCTAGCAATGCATCAGTGTGGCACAAGCTGAAAGGAAGGGACAAAAGGACACAAGGATCAGGATGTGCCACGCCAGCCTACAGTGGCAGTCAGCATCTGGGGCTTCTTGAGGTAAGAGTGCTAAATCCTGCTTCCAGCAAGGCTGGTATCATTCATGCCCATATGAATAAAGGTATGTAACCCAGGTTGCGTCTTTCTGGTGTGAGACCTCCAGGGTCTTCCTCACTTGGGGAATAGGACCTGGGATTTTCCTTGGCCTTCTCGCCTGACTGCAAAGTGAGCCGAGCTCCTAGCTGAGGAACCCAAGGCTGCCCACCCGTCAGAGCAAAGCCTCAGCTCCTGACTCCCAGCTCTTAATCCAGAGTACAAGGCTTGCCTGTACATGAAGCTCTCTCTGTGAAATGAAGTCACCTTCCTAACTGCTTTGAAAGCCATAGCTGATAGATGCAATCAAAACCCAGATATTACAAAACATTTGAAACTATCCCAGTGGCTCAATCCACAGGACAGACATGAACATATCAGAGTCCTAGAATACCACGTCGGAAGGGACCTCAAGGATCATCCTCCTAAGCAAAGCATGACATAAACTAGATGTCCTAGGACCATGTACAGCTGAATCTTAAAAGTGCCCAGTGTTGGGGAACCCACCATTTCCCTGGGAAGATTATTCCAATAGCTGATTGTTCTCAGTGTGAAAAATTTTCCTCTTGTGTCTAGTCAGAATTCCCCAGGAGTAACTTGTGCCCATAACCCCTCATCTTTTCCATGTGACTCCTTTTAAAAAGGGAGTCTCCATCTGCTTTGTAGTCACCTTTTTAAATACTGGAACATGGTGAGAAGGTTTCAGATTTTATTTCTTTTCATGCAGATTGACCTCCTCAGCCTCAGTTTTCACCACTCAGCATGGTGCTACTGGCACTCTGTCCATCAGTATCACTTGGGGGAACATCAACTGGGGACTGAAGGATGGAGAAGCAGCCCAGCTATTAACTGAGTTTACATGACTGCTGACTGGCGTATGAGAAATGAATTGGTGCCCCAGCTGGCAGGGAGACCCATGACTGCCAGCATGAAGAAGGATGCCTAAAGCCAGGGTGGAGCTCTCTGGAAGCTGACCCAGCTATTGTCCATACTTGACTGTTCTTAACTAGATGGCTTCCCTGTCCAGAGTAATCAATGCAAAGATACTGTGCCAACACTGGCATCAGTGGCCACAACACATTTCTTTTTATGTTCTATTTCTGGGCTGTTCTCCTCCCCAGCCTCTGGAGTGAGCAAATCAGAGCACTGTTAACATAACTGATGTTTGAAAGTGTTCCCAAGTGTGGCAGAACTCTGGCTAAAACCCTACATGGAGGATCAAAACTATCACTGCGAATTTACCACTACATCTTATTTGATGTCAGCTTCACTGTGGCAAAATTCCTTCTTCTTGCATGAGCTCTGGGAAGTACATACCAAGCAGTTTATACCTGCACTTCTATCAGACCGAAAATTACTGATCGTCTTCTGTACCATCCGTTATCAGGCAGAGCTGAGCTCCTGCCTGTCACTCAGGGCAGGGAGGACAAGCCACTCCAGATATACAAGGGTTCAGTCTTACCAGCAGGTATTCGAACCATTCTGCTCCCATCCTCCAGTCCAGACCCAGGTCCTTGGTGAGAAAGCTGGCGACGTTCTGCCGCCCTCTGTTAGACATGAAGCCTGTTGCAGCCAACTCTCGCATATTGGCATCCACAAAAGGAACCCCTGTTTTACCCTCTGCAGAGACAAAAGACAGTGCTGGGACATGATGACATTTTTGGGCACTCATAAACCAACCTGTGGTCATGCACTCACAGCCATCAGAGCAGGTAAGACAGTGCCAAAGTGGCAGGGAGAGATTTCAGTGAGGTTAAGGGGGTGTGCACCCACTAAGATCCACTGGAAATGAAATGGGAAATTATAGTGAAAATTAAAATGAGGAGAATTTTTGTCAAGAAAAAAAACAGAAAAATCTCAGACTGGAATTTTGCAGAGCAAAATAAATATACAGACAATAGTGAGATGGGTGAAGAACAGAAAGATTCTTGACAGATAACTAATAGCAGAGAGGGATGTATTGGACAAGTCCCGAGGGTTAGTACCTGAAAAGTAGACAGCCTTATCTATTGTTAAGGAGGAGATTTATTGTACCTGTGTACAAATGGATACACATGGCATTAACGTGAAGAAAGATATATAGGTGTGTATTTTACTGATTCTGATACTTTAACCTGTCAGTCCCTCCAAGTTTTAAGATACTATACTTGCTATTCATGTGACAACAAAGTTATAAAAGCTAAAGAAAAGCAAGGATATTAGAAGGCATTGGCATAACAAAAGATGTGATTAATTCCAACACTGTTCTAAGCTTCTAACCAAAATCAATCAGAAGAATGAGATGTAGCAGGCATGGCAATCTAGCATTGGTAAGAAGGGCTGGTCAGCCTCCGTGTGACTAAACAGAAGGGACCACCAGGTCATAAACACTTCCTGCTGGGCAGGAAAATCTAACTGCAGTGCACCTCAGGAAGTGTGCCAGCCGGACAGAGCCTGGCCATTCATGATATATATATACACCCTGAGGGCCTGCTCCTGCACCGTGCTCAGTCTCAGAAGTGAAGCCAAGTGTCCTGCACTCACACTGAAGTGAGGGGCTGGATTCTTGTTTGGTGGTAACAGTTTAAATGACAGGCCCTGGTCGTGCTGACAATTCCCCTGCATAAATCTGAGTCAGTGTTAGAGCCCATGTTAGCATGCAGACAGATGGAAACCAGAAGCACACTTAGCCAAAACTGTGGTTTCTACTGACCTTTCCAACAGTCAAAAAGCTGCAGGTCCTTTTTCCAGGCAACCTCTTTACTTTGAAGCCCTATCAGGGAAAAAATTAGCTGCTAATGAAGGCAAATGCTGACACAGGCAGTTAATAAAACAATGACAGCCAAAGGCACTTTAGTTGACATTAGAATGAAGATACTCCATGTGCTCTGGCCCAAGCTACTGTCTTGTTCAGTTTTAGTCCAGGACAGTGTTTATATGCAATGTTTCTGTAGCAGGTGTCAAACCCAGAATTCCCTGGCAGAAGCCCCTGGTAACAGTTTGCTCCTGCAGTGGGGTAGGAACAGATGAGGGGGGTGACTTTATGTTTGCAGGAGACCAATGGTAATTACAGTCCTCTGTACAGCGGAACGCAGGCAGCAGGGATGACTTGGCTCTAGCTCCAGACATCTAAGCTCAGGCCCACCACTGGTGTCCAATGTCATCTGAGATGCTGAAAGCCATTTGAAACAGCCACAGAGGCCTGGCATATGTGACAAAAGCTCTAAGGGAGATGTGCTCCTCCGCAGCCACAGCTGGATGCCAGGCAGACTGCCCTGAGGCATCTAAAACAGTGCTGCATGCTGAAGCGTGGGCAGCTACATCACACAGAGAAGAGCTCACCTGGCACAGGCATCAGCTGTAGGGTTTCCTGACTATATGGACTAGATATTTGTTGTTGCACCAAGAGTTCAGACTCCCATTTCGTGTGTAGACACCTGTACTAAGTCACAGGGTCTGGAGCTGAACCCGATTCCTATGTAGTGCAAGGCTGTTGCTTCCCAGTGATGTGTGCTAACAATCCTCCCCATTCTAATCAGATTTGAGGAAAAAGTCTCAGTGTCTACGCAGTGTCCAACATCATGGTGTTGAGGCACTTCTGTGCTAATAGTAAGCCTCCAGCAACATCCCTGGGTGGTGACACAACTTTCCCTGTTGTAAGATTGTACCTTTTCTCTCCAAACATGGTGATCCATACGCACCTCTTAATGAGAAAATCCTTCTGCCATACTTCAGGGCTACAAATCGAAAGTAATCCCGCCACAGCAGTTCAAAGAGGACCCTAAAACACAAACGCATGTCTGTATTTCACTGTTTGTCAGATAAAATCGCTGAATTAGGATTTTGCTCCCACAGCACCCGTCATTAACATTGTTAGGGAGGCTTATTCACAATGAGCCATTTCCCGTAGCTTCCCCTGATACCAGTTCTTGGCCCAAGCCTGCTTACACCTGGATGACGACAGTGAAAGCAAACCTTGCATGAATCACTTGGGAAGCTTTCCTTAGCTTGGCATAGGAGCAGAATTTCAGGAAACCTGTTTCTCATCCATCCCTACTGAGATGTAATTCTCCACAGAGCAGGGTGAGGACCTGATTCAGCTTCACACTTCCGCATGAACAAGCATGTCAGCACATTCCCAAGAGATCTGCACTGATTTGAGCAGTAACCTTTGTAAGGGACTCATGGGCACCTTTCAAAACTGGCTTTACAGTGGCTAGCTCATGAGATCAGCTGCCAGGCCCACAGAAAATAGTTTTATATAAAAAGAGCTTCTTATAAAATGACAGTACCTCAGTGCCTGAGACCTGCTTCAGCTCTCTGGCATATTGGAAATCAGCTCAGCTGATGCTTAGGCTTAAAAGATCTTTCTGGGAAATCTGATTACAAAACAGGACACTGTCCAAATGCTAAAACTAGTGTCATGATATTGAGGGTCAACCAGTCCCTCGTGTGCAGCCACCACGACCCATACTTCACTGTAGAATTGACAGCAGTGCCTGGGAGCTTGACAGTTTCTTTTTTAATGATTATTTATCACTTTTAAATGCTCAGATCACCCTGACTGCAGGCAGGCTGGCTGGCTGTTAGACAGAAAAACAGGAGTATGTTCATTGCCTGAAATTTTCCTCTCTCAGTTGTCTTTGAAGAAAGAAAGACAGGAAAAAATAGCATACATTTCAACAGGCAAAAGGTTAATATTTTGTCTGTCATTTGAATGCTAATGAAATTGAGTATTTTGGCTACAATTGTTGGCAATGTTCTGCCTGTTCTTCATCAACCACTGTGCTGTTTGACATGTTGCAAATGTAACAAACCAATGTGAAAACATAGTTCTACAGTTTGCACAGACTTTCTGGTTTGGGTTTTTTCCCATCCAGGTGTAGTGTTAGGCCAGGAAAGCTCCCTGCCAGACTCCAATTCACAACGTCTGGGCAGATCAGAATACGTGAGCAAGTTCAAAGCCAGCCTTGTGATGGACACACTGACTCCTTCAGGACAGCCTGCAGACAGGCAGTGAAGTGAGGAAGAGCACAGGTGATGAGGCAGGATGCATTAAGCCCACTTCCCAGTCCCCTCTTCCCCTTTGCTCTGGGTTGTGGTCACAGGCAGGCAGCCCAGCAAGCACAGGGCCATTTGCTGGACTGTGGCTGGAGGTCCTTCTGACGCTACGTGATTTGTACAAGTCATGGAGCTTTTTGGGCGAAACGCTGCTCATATCCTTGGCATGAGAAACCATTTGGCTTTTATTTGTAAATATTTTGTACTTCATTTTTCTTCCTTCTCATCTATCCCATAACAGCAATACAGAAAGGGATGGTGCTGATTTACATTTCTAAAAATCATGAACCACAATTTCCCAGCAATAATAATGACAACTAGCATTAATAATCTTTACTTATAAAGTGCCTAAAGCCTCTGGATGTCAAAGACAAACTAATAAATCATAGAATCATAGAATGGTTTGGGTTGGAAAGGACCTTAAGATCATCTAGTTCCAACCCCCTGCCATGGGCAGGGATACCTCGCACTAAACTATGTCACCGAAGGCTCTGTCCAACCTGGCCTTGAACACTGCCAGGGTTGGAGCATTCACAACTTCCTTGGGAAACCCATTCCAGTACCTCACCACCCTCACTGTAAAGAACTTCTTCCTCATATCTAATCTAAACTTCCCCTGTTTAAGGTTGAACCTGTTACCCCTTGTCCTATTGCTGCAGTCCCTGACGAAGAGCCCCTCTCTGGTATCCTTGTAGGCCCCCTTCAGATACTGGAAGGCTACTATGAGGTCTCCAGGCAGCTTCTCTTCTCCAGGCTGAACAGCCCCAACTTTCTCAACCTGCCTTCACATGGGAGGTGCTCAAGCCCCCTGATCATCCTTGTGGTCCTCCATACTGAAACAGGACTGCAACAAACCCAGAGGAAACAGACAGCAGGCACAGGAAAAACAAACATTAATTAAGAAGAAAGTCAACAAATCACTCCTCTGCGTGAGATGCCAGTTTCCTTTTCAGAGGAAACAAGCCACACTGATCATGCATGGACATACCAGTATGTGCTCTGATTTGCTGTTCTCTCTTTTTCATACTTCTGGATCTGCTCATAGATGTATCGAGGTGAAATGCAGCCCAGTGCCAGCCTGAAAGCATAAGAATGATGCTTTCAGTCCTGAATGTGATGCAGGACTGACAGCTTGATACCTGCTTAGGGGGAGTGGAGGGGCAGTTTTGTGTCTGAGTTGTTGTCTGAAAGTTTTACTTGGTTTGTGATTCTGCCACTGATTTCCCAAACTGCTTTAGTCAAGTTGTATGACTTCTTCACAACTCTTCCGTCTGAGAATCACAATCCTGCCCTTCCCAGCATATGACTGTTGCAGAAGTTTCCAAGCTACTGAGATAATTTTACACAAGTTTGACAAGTTTTGCCTAAAAGACTTAACCAGCTGGTGACTTAACACACCAGTGATGAACCCAGAACTTGATCTCAAATGCCAATCTCTACATCAACTGCCCTAGCTGTTTGACTGCCCTCCTTTTACTACAAACTTATTTGTCATGTTTATCACATGTCCAGGGCTGTTTTTCCTGCAGTACCTTAGTGTCTCATTTAAGCAACCACGAAAGGTGAGAGACTTGCTGAAAATCCCAGGCAGGGTAGGAAAATTAGGGAATCAAACCCAGCTTTGGCATTTCAACCCTCTGGGCTCCTTTCATTTGGTCCAAATCAGTGCTGTGCAAGACAGGAAAGAGCTTGTAGACTCCAACCCCATTGCAAAGGATGATAAGGAACAGTTTTTAGTGTGATTTTCCTAGAAATGTGTTTTACTGCAGTTTCCTACTGGGGCTCGTGGAAACATTTCTAATGAATTTTGGAAAACAGGAAGAAAGGGCCTGAAGAGTTTTTCCTGAATTCTTGACCAGCTCTAACACTTAGAAACAGCCAGTATGAGATGTGAATGACTGCCTGCAATCTGGAACAGTCTGATTTCAATCATCTAACAGAGGAACACTTTGGGGCAGGCAGATCAGGGCTGTCTGCTCCGGGCAAATGGCCAGCTTGGAAAAACTCGAGTAGAGACCACAGAGAACCTCTGCAGTGCCAGTGGTCAGAGATCCCAAAGTGCCAGCAGGTGGAGCCATCCACTGCAACCGTTAAAGCACAAAGCCAGCTGAAAATAAATCCTGACCTGTAACGGTCTCAGAAAATTGTTTCACATTGCAATTCTGTCAGGAAAACACTCCAGATGCTCTCAGCATTCGGCTGAACTGGGTTCTGCTGGTGCAGCTTCAGTCTGGAAGTAACTCTGCTCCTCCCTTCCAGCACCAGAGACTAAAACTGCTAATTAGAAATCACACGTTTATCCAACCAAGAGATCCTTTTGCAGCAGGAAAGGTCAGAAGTGTCTCTTCACCCCACAGAAAAAGGGAGGTGAGGTGACTTGCCCCACAGCATTCAGCAAACCAGGGCTGGATCAAGTTCTGCTACAACCCTGTCAAAATGCTGAAGTTATGCTTCTTTCCTGGCTGCTCTCAACCACCCCTGACACACAACACAGTGCAAAGCCAAACAGAAGTGGAGTGTCTCTCCAGTGCCCTGTCCACATTGCTGCTCCCAGCACACTGGGCTCTTGGCACAGTACTTCTATGCTTCAGCAATTCCTAATTGCAGGAATGTTCCCAGGGAAATACTGCCTGGAAGTACACCAAAGAACAGCTCTGGAGCTGCCCCAGGAAAAACGGCAAAATGAATCACACTGAGACCCCTACCCCTGCCCAGTGAGCACTCAGCAGACTGGTAACATGAGGCTGGGATGGGAGCTTCCAGCCTCACAGCAAAAATCCTTACCATGGTGCAAATTTGGTTGAGTAGTCCATTCCCACCAGTCCATTCCGCATCTCCTTGTACGATGCAACCAGGTTCTGTGCAAGCAAAAGAACAAAAGGTTTTAATACTTTACGAGCAATCTGCTTAGTAAATTTTCTTTCACGCTGGGGCTCGGGCAATCTGGCAGCGCTGGGCTCCCTCTCACGGCCACCTGCAAGGATTACAGAGCTGCCAAATGACTGCCTCCAGTGCACAGGAATGAATCAGGCCAGCAGTTTTCATTGTAGCTCTGGGACGCACGTCGCAAGCTGTGCTCCCTGCTTCAGCTTGTAGCGCACTGCTTTCTACAAGCACTGTGAAGCTGTCTGTGCTGCTCCCTGCCTGACTGTGGATCAGTAATCCACTTACAAGCACCAGTGGGACTGGCAGCCGGGTCTCTTGTCCATGAGGCGGCTTGTGTGAGTTTGAGAATGAACCACTGTCTCTGATAGCTCCCAAAACTCAGTTGTAGGAATCCTGATGGTTATTATTTCTGGCCCACCCACATTTACAGCAGGCTGCGATCTTCCGTTTTCTGAGCACTTCACTCACAATGCAGGGAATATAGAGAAGCTTGATCTGTCCTTGATCCCCTTCGCTGCACTGGTTCCAATTGCTAAAGGCCTGTTCTAGCTCACTGGGGAAGACAATATGTGCATAACAAAACAGAAGATTTTCCAGCACTGATTCTACTAATGCTTGACCAAGAGCAGATGCTATGTATGCTTGTACTAGTTCAGGCTGGGATAGAGTTAATTTTCTTCATAGTAGCTGGTATGGGGCTGTGTTTTGGATTTGGAAACAGAGTTGATAACACAGGGATGTTTTAGTTACCACTGAGCAGTGCTTGCACAGAGCCAAGGCCTTCTCTGCTCCTCACTCCACCAGTGAGCAGGCTGGGAGTGCACAAGAAGTTGGGAGGGGACACAGTCAGGACAGCTGATCCCAACTGACCCAAGGGATATATAGTACATGAAGTCATGTTCAGCATATAAAGCTGGGAAAGAAGAAAGAAGGGGAGATGTTTGGAGTGATGGTGCTTGTCTTCCCAAGTCACTGTTAGGTGTGAAGGAGCCCTGCTCTCCTGGAGATGGCTGAACACCTGCCTGCCGATGGGAAGTGGTGAACGAATTCCTTGTTTTGCTTTGCCTGTGCGTGCAGCTTTTGCTCTACTTACTCAACTGTCTTTATCCCAAGCCACAAGTTTTCTCATTTCTACCCTTCCAATTCTTTCTCTCATCCCACTGGCAGGGAGCAAATTAACACCTGTGTGGGGCTGAGCTGCCCACTGGGGTTAAACCAGGACAATGCTCCTCAACAGCAAAGAAAAGCAGGAGTTTCTGGAGCACAGCTACAGAAAGAATCTCCTGGGGGCTGTCCCAGTGATCCACGGGGCACAGAACACTTCTTAACCCATCTCAGCTGGGGAGATGCTACCTGCTTTACCCACAAAGCTGTGTAGGGTCTGGTCTAAATTCATGCAACACAAATCTAAGGCAGTTCCTCAAACTAGACCAGAAAAAGGATCAAAAACGGTCAGGATGCACAGACAAAGCACAGTCAGCAGCAGCTTCACCCCACCAAAGCAAGGGAGTAAGAAGCAACTGTAGTTATTGACTGTAAGTTTCTAAACCAGACTACTAGGATCTTCCTACTATTTTTAACTGTGGCAGTAGCTTGGGTTGGTTGTTCCTCAGCCCAGTTACAGCTGCAGCCCTTCAGGCCACTTCTCACTCCTCAAAAACAGAGGAACTACGTTGCTGATGACACAGGACAGGAGAGTAGAAAGGACAAATCAAGGTAAAGGAGCTAATAAATCATGCCAATTCCCAAAAGTTGATGTAAAAAAAGACTTAAGATGGATGGCCACTGAACTAGGTTCCTAAGTATTTGGCTTACATTCCCAGTTCCTGGATAACTTCTTTTTGATTTAGTTTGTCTCTCTGAAAAGTGAAATAATGATAATTCCCTCCTTTGTAAAGTGGTCTACAGGAGCTAAGGAAATATTACTAGGAAGTGAAATTGCAGCCTCACCCACTTGCACAGGGGGGAGGATGTAGACAAGGAAATGTAAGAGTTACCGTGTCCCAAAAATAATACTGCAGTCTCATTAAAGCCTGGGTCTCCCCTCCACTGCCAGGGAAGGCTGTCCGTGGATCAGTCTCAGGATCTGCCACAAAAAACACCATTGCCTTGTTACCCCCTTGGAAAGCAGCTCAAAAGTAGGGACCTCAAAATCTAGAGACGTTCAGCACAGGGCTGTCTGCTTCGGGGACATAAGAGATTGTGCCCTGGTCTTCCTTTAAAAGAAAGGGCCACACAAAACATACTAAAAATTAGTGACTAAGAGGATGTTTGCTACCCAGCTGCAGGGCAGCTCATCCATGCAGGGAATTTACCTTCATTTGCTGTCAGAGGCTTAGTTACAGTTCAAAGGGCAACCACTGCCTTTAGGAGGCCTCCATGTTTTGGTTCTCAGTAAGAGACAGCTCTAAGTAGGATTCCATGGGAGCAACTGCCAAAGTAAGCTTTTTTACCCTTCTGCCCCAAATCCTCCATTGTGGGGATATGCCCCTCTTCCACCCCTGGAGCCAGAGGCTGTAGCTGATCTGCCATCCGCAGGGTTGGCCGGACCTTCGCCTCAGATTCCACGGCTTTCCGGAAATGAGTGTAGACATCAGGCAACCTGCACAGATCACAGCACAGTCACATCTCCCTGGGAAGGGTGGCCACCCTGGGCCCTGCATACAGCAACACACAGCTTCCTTGGATTAGATGGAGGGTTAGTTTTCCAGCCACACTCTCCTGAGGGTTTGCTGTACATTGCCTGGATCTACTGAGTTAGATGCCCTTGGGGCTAGCAGCCATCAGAAGTTCAGCTCTTCACCCAGTTTCTTTCTGCTTCTGATGCAAATGGTGCCTTTTCAATTTAAGATGTGTCCTGATGGGGCAATCCACAAGGGTCAGATTTATCTCACCTAACTTCTGATTACCCACTGCTAACCTCAACCTAAAAATTTGCATCTTCCTGCTGCCTTTTCATTCAATAGAGACAAACAGGCATTTTTATGGCCTGACTCTTCTGCCCTGTATTATACATTTTCTGTAGGATACCATGAATCACTCAATTCCATCAACTACACCTCAAGTGACTATTGAGGGAGCCATGAAGAGTCCACAAGCAAAGGGATACTGTCATAGGCAGCTGCATTTAGCCAGATGGGGTAATGAAGTGATGCAGTCCAATGTCACGTGGACCCTAGGCACTGCAGAGTGAGTATCCAAACCGTGCTGGTGGAAGGGCAAAGAGAAAACAGTCCCTCAATAAATGGTCAAACAAACCACTTGGCTTTATGCATATTGAAGTGTAAATCCTACTAGTACAGAGGGATGAACATGCTCCTTCCCCTTGGAGTGTATGAGCATGGCAGCACTGTTCCATAAATGCAGATGGGAATGAGTCCCTTCCCTGTAGGACCGGATGACTAGGACCCTTCCTGAGCAGTTCACTGGAGTGAGAAACGAATGTGACAGTGGAAGAGCAAGTGACACCATGGAGCAGCCCACCTGGCAATAGGTCTGAAGGGAAGGTCATCCCGATGATACAGTGTAGATGCCCAGAATGTGTGAATCTTCACCCCATGCTGACTACACACCTGGCGCAGCTCCTTCTCCACATCCAGCTCCTCCTGTGTGGCCTAGGGAGAGCAACATGCAGTGAGGCCACGGCTGCACGGCCTCAGCTCCTGCCTGCACACAGACCCTGGTCCCTGGTCTTGCCCTCCTCCCTCATCCCCACATTTAGCTTCATCCCTTTAGAGAGAGGTACACACAGACAATCTCCAAGTATTTCCCTCTGCCAAACCCAATGCGTGTTTTCACTATCCATTAGTAGGGCAAATGTGGGAATAAGGAACTCCTTGATGTAGAATGTTGCAGATGTTTTAAGTTTGCATGGTCTGGAAAGGTGACTAGGCAAATATATGTAAAAGAAATCCATGGATGGTTATTGAATATAAGGACAGCATTCCTATTTCAAGAAATCCTTGAGCCACAGATTCTTGTGGACTGGGAAGGTATTCAGGGAAAGTATCTTTACAGATTAGTCCTGCTCCTCTAGTCTTCTCTGGGCATCTGTAATTGGTCACTGTCAGGAAGAAGCTTACAAAGTGAGATGAGGCCTCCTGATCCTGTATAGTTGTTCTTAGAGCTGCATGGAATCAGGCACTATGAGAGGTGTAGGTTGTTACAAGGGCCTGATCAGTCACAAATAGCTGCTGTCATCCAGCAAGGACTCCCACCCACACACCTACAACATCCCTATCCCCAGAGCTAGCCAGTTTCCCCAAGGTTAACATGCCACAGACAAGAAAGGCTCTGAACACACAGGATCTGCATCACCATTTGACTGCAGAAGAAACCTCCACAACCTAATTTTATCTTTTAACAGTGTCACTCAAGTATTTCCCTTACCTCTTCATGGAAAACCACAGCACTGACAGAGCCCAGCTGAGCAATCAGATCACGGACCACATCCTCCGGCTTCCCCTTCCTCACAACAAGGGTACTGCATATACAAAATATTGCCCTGAATTAGGTTTGATGTTATTGTTACTTATGCGTAGAGGAGGCCCTAGTCCCGGTGCAGGAACACATGTACTAGTTCTCTGCGGAGCATGGACAGCATGTGGAAGCAGACAAACAGGATTTGACTAGCCTACATTTTTTAGGACTCGGTGAACACGGTTTGTTAAGCCTCTGGGGCTTACACACATTTCTGCCACCCCGGATGCCTTAGAAAGGATGGCTGGGCAGAAGGCCAGGCTGTTACCTAAAAGAAAATCTGTCAGATCTGTTCATCCTCACATGCTTAGGCTGAGATCCAAGAAGTGATTCCTCTTTCGATCTCCTTCACAAGTAGTGGTGGCCTGTGGGCAGACCCCTCTCCACTTTCATGTGGGGGTATTCAGAGGAATTCTTTCCTCTGAACGCTCTGTGTTCATAACAGAGTCAACAAAACTTCCCTCCCACCTTGCAACCTCACCAACTGCCCAGCTGTGTACCCGGGGCACCACACCAAAAGAGAAGCTGTGGTGAGAAAGTTGGTTAGAGGTGGGTGCAGAGGTCTGTGAAGAGCCTCATACATGACTCTGTCCCTTTCCCTGTCTGTCATGTGCTTGAGCAGAATTTCTTAAAGGGCAATACATTGTTTTTGCCAGAATACTTTAAACCACAACTGGAAAGTTTCTTTCAAAGATGGGCTGGGTCTGAAGGAGGCAGGAGCAAGGAGTGCTACCACAAGAGCCGTTCCCTTTACTTCCATCAGAAAAGCAAAGAACAGGCTTCCCACAGGGAACACCACATGCAGAAGGTTTCTACCACTGCAATACTACTACGTCTTAGCATGGCTCTTCACAACCACACATCTCTCACTGCAGGAGACCAGCCTCTTTATCTGCCACTGACAACAGCACAGCAGCATTCAAGCAGCTCTGAATCTGCTCGGGGCAGAGTGTGCGTGCAGATACCCACTGATCAGTTCTTTCAGTCTCCTATGACATTCACCATGTGCACGGTCCACACTGCACTGCAAACCCAGAGCCATTCCTCCTGGTCTTACCACCACTGTTATGCTGCTCCGGGAGAAGACAAGCAGATCTGCTAAAGCAAAGCCAGATGTTATCTGGTAATGGATTCTTCAACATGTAGACCTTCAGGCCCTGGTCTAGCTGAGTTATGGTTTCTAAAGGCGTAATGAAGGAGGAACCTCTGAAGACCCCTTCCCACAGCGTAGCATACCTAAGAGATTGGGTTTAGCAAGACAGGGCACGCACAAACTTAACTCCCCAGTCTCACAAGCCAGGATCCATGTTGGTCTGTCTCAAGCCAATGCCAAGGGAAAACTCACTAGGCACAAGACAGGATGTGTACCACAGTGGCTACTGTTGCTGCCCGCATCTCAGAAGACTGCCTTTCCTGTCTCCAGTCATCAGGACTCTGGGCAAAGGGCTCAAGTCTGATGCCCACCTGTGATACCTGAGTTCAAGAGACCAAACCCTGCATGGCACGCAGACTGGACGGCTCTCTGCTCCCTTGCAGATGCCACAGCAGGTCATCTGAACAGGGGCTATGTATGGGACCTTACTGTGTCTAACAGATGGGCTGTGGCTCTCAGAAACAAACCACCAGCAGAGCCCGGAGTCTTTGACATGATTTGACTCGCAGCAGAGATACAGGTTGAAAACAAGATGGGAAATAAAAACGGATGGGTTATTTGCATGCTGCTTTCTCAATTACCTTCCTTTTCTCTTGAGTGTTTCCCTTAGATCCTTCACGCTTTCCAGCAAAAACCTGAGCCGGTGGAGCCCTTTATGCGGGAAGCCGTAGCAGTGGAGGTGGGCCCCTGTCTGCGGGAAGCCGTAGCAGTGGGTGCGCAGGTAGTGCCGCGGGTCGAAGCAGTACAGGGGGACAACGAAATCAGCGTTACTCTGAGCCCAGTGGAGCACCTGGAAACGCAGAAAGGGCCATGGCAGCTCTCGGGGGCAGGCTGCAGCGCGCCCCTCCCCGCAGCACAGCCAACAGCGGGGTTA